TGCTCACTAAGTGAAGCATTAGGAGAAACCCCAGCCTGGTTGGGGGAAGCTTCTTGACTCTGGGCAAGAAAGAATTCTCAAACAGGTCATACAAGTGTAGGTAAGGAAGGAATTCACTAAAGCAAGAGCAGCAGGGAACGACAGCTGCTTTGCAGGCAGCAGAAAACAGGAAAGTGCAGGGGGGAAGTTCTCGGCCTAGGGCAGATTCCCTTCCCAACTCTGAAGCCAAGGGTCACCTGGCATCCTGTGTCCCCTTGGATCTGAACAGCATGGGGACTAGCCCCTACCACTCCAGGATCTGGGGGAGCCACGGAGCACAGGATGGAGTGAGATTAAGTTTTGGGAACTTCTCAAAGAAAGGAGATTTTCAGGTAGGCTACTAAGAGCAGATTGTACAGCGGCAGTTCTATCCAGGTTACTCAGGGTATGAAAACATGCAGGCCCAAATCTGAGCTCTTAGCAGCCCCTTCCTACTTGTCAGGAGTAAAGCAGAGACAGAGTGAAGACTTGGAAATAAAACGTAATAGCAAAAAGACAAAACAGTAATTGGAGCAGTGATAAAGTTTTATTTGACAGTACGCATTTAAAGAAAGGAAAGTGTGGGCATCCTTAGGAGGTGCACTGAAAATTTGGGGATTCTGTCTTTTAAGGCTTTCAAGAATGGGACAGAAGGCAGAGGAGAGGTTGTTGGGCATAGGCTTGACTTGTCATGTCAAGATGCTTATCTCTCGTGAGAGACACCATGTCTCCTCTCCTCTGTTATCAGTCCCCCAGCTAATTTTGCTAAATAAATGGAACACAAGGGATTTATTTATTCTGTTCTTCTCCAAGATAGTGGTTACCCTCAAGCAGTGGGGACGTATCAGTTAAGACTGCCTGCCCTGCCTTAAGGTAGGTTGTTGGGTTGTTATCTGATTACCAGAGAATACATTAAGAATTTTACTTCTCAACTCTCTGCTTTTTAAAATGGAATCTTAGCCTTAAGATGGGTTCTCTCCTGTTCTTATTATACTGTTTTTATCTCAGAACTTTTCATCATAGGCAGGAAAAATTAATCATGATGCTTGTCCCATGTCCCTGCCCTGCCTCCATGCAGTTAGTGAAATGGAGATTTTGTGAAGAAGAGCAAAATAATCTACAAGCACAAAGAATACATTATGACCCAAGTCTCTGAAAGCCAGTATTACCTCCATCTCCCCTAGAATGGGCCTCAGACTTTCGGAGTTATCTCTGTGAGTGTTCCTAGTGACATGACGTGAAGTCATTTCTTCTGGAGGCCGGGTTAACTAACCAGAGAAAAACAAATATAACTTTGTCGATACCAATATCTTACTGAAGTGAATTCTGACTTTGAGCAAGATCTGTGGCAATAAACAATGTGTCATTTTTTTCTAACCCACTTCCCACACTCTCTCCTAATATATGACTATCTCCTGTTTCATTGGCTTAGAGACAACAGAATGAATGTGCTCATTAACAGCAGAAAGAGAGTATTCTTTTTGAGAGCTTCTTCTCAAATAAATAGGTGTTCTAAGTATGGGAAAGAAAATTAGTTAAGAGAGCATAAGGGACTAAATAGTGATTCTTGTGCAAACCTGAACTATTTCTCTGAGATTCTGACATGCCTTTCTGTTACTGCTGCTGCTTCCTCTAACCACAGTGACTACGGCATTTCCAAAGTAGAGAGATTTTAGTCAAACGGGGAGAGCAGCCACCAGCTGTGTCATACATTCAGTATTCATCAGCCACATAACCTGTACTTCCCTGGATTTTTCTCATTTCAATTATTATGTTTGGTCAGCCCTATAAATACAGCTATACTTTTCAAGTCAGTTGTGTGTAATATTAAACCAAAAATATCATTAAATCAGTCATATATTGTTGGGGAAAACTCATTGAAATTTTGGCTTCCTTGAATCGATTTCCTAGACTTTTTCTTTAATTTTTCTATTAATTTTCTTGAATTCCTAGTTCCTATTCTCCATCCTACTTTTGCCAGTTCATTTATTTTATCTCTGTTAAGTTATATTCCCCTGTAATTGCCCTGGGCTGGGGCCAGAGGACCAGGCCCTCTAACTTGTACCAAAAGAGAAGAAACCTGCATAAAACCCATTTCCCCTACTTGGTAAACTCTCATTTGCATTGTCAGAATTTGCTGCTTCCCACCCACCCCATCTATCCCTTGATGAGGGAGGACCCTCATCAAATATCCTTAAAATGCTTAAATATTTCTTTAAGGTAGAGTGGTAGTGATGGCCTTTCTAATTGCAAGGGCATGGATATTTAGAATTTTGGTAGACACTTTTAATCCTCTCCCAGCCCATACAAAAATACTGTATTTATATATACGCTTATCCACCATACAAGGAAGGATCCATTTCTCCTTCTTTTCCACATATTAATCTTTTTAATTTATGTAAATCTAGTGAAAAATTGTATTTTATCTGTATATGCTTGATTAATAGTGAGGCTCGGCAGATTTTTGCTCTTCATAAAACAATGCTCTCCAGAAGGATTAAATGGCTGAAGGTAAAAACAAAATCTTAAAAATGCTTCAAGAAACTATAGGAAAATACATAATCTCCTAGGGATAAATCCATCGAATAAAAGTTAATAGATTGTTTTAGCACATTTATTTAAAAAACAAGTATGCATGCAAAAAGCATCAAAATATAGCTAAAATACAACTAACATACCAAGAGGAAACATTGGCTACATATAGCAAACAAAACGTTAATAATACCCATAATATATAAGATGCTAATACAAATCAGTAAGGAAAAAAACCCAATAGGAAATTGAGTAAATAAGTATCTTGTAGGAGAGGAATCTTTAATGGTCAGTAAATGAAAAGATTTTTAACCTGATTTGTTTTTTACTATCAACAATATATAATAACTGTCTTGTATCAATATACATACTGATCTTCTTGATTCTTTTAAACAATTGTGTGGATTACCATTGTTTATTTAAACATTAGTGGATGGGTAGGTTGTTTTCTAGTTTTTGCTGTGATTAATAATTTACAATGAATGTGCATGTGTATGTTGTACAGACATTATAATTTTTTTTAGTCTTGACCTATCTGATAGTTACTCATTTTAAAATATTATTTTCTTTATTTCTGAGATTTAGTATCTTTTATGTTTATATTTTTAAATGTTTATATGCCATTATAACCAAATGGCATATTTCATTTAACTGTTTATTCTGTCCTCTACCCATTTTACTATTAGTATCTATGTTGATTATATGAACTCTATGTTAATGATATCCCTTTTCTGTCATACAAGTTTGCGGATGTGATTTCCATAATTTCTTTATCATCCTAAGGTTTACTTGCCAGTTTTTTACACATCATATTAATATTTCCATAGCAGTTTAATTCATCTGTTTATTATTTAGTTACATCACTTACATCTGTTTTCTCTATTAGATCATTGTTCTCTTGAGATTGTATTCTCTTCAAGACAAAAAAATTATGTTTTTTCATATAGGTCTGGCACAGTACCACTTACTTGATAATAACTACTTATTGGTGGTGGCTATAGGTGACACCCTAGAAATAGACATTTGGATCCTGGCAGGTTATGTAGCTCCTACAAACTATTTATAGATCCTACCGGCAATAGACTTTTGCCATTGTTTCACCAGACTCGACCATTATATTTGAAGGTGAGAAGAGTATAATATTACAATGTAATGGATCTACTATGCATATACTCACTGTTTTCAATTCATGGATCATATAAAAAGAGAAGAATGCACTAGCTTAATGTTTGATCTTTACCACATAGATCTAATGTCACAATCAATCGCCTTCAGTGTTTTCTTTGAAATCACATAAAGGTTCATATGTACCAAATTTCATAAGGATCAGATGATAAGGTCAAGAAATACAAATTCCAAGGCAGAATTTATATGTCCAGTTCACATATGACAGCAATACTATATAACCATATGTTGAATATAATACACTATATGTAAATGCTGTTTTGAAAGCAATCCAATCAATAAAACCTAAAATAAATAACACTTTAATAACAAATTTCAAATTGACTAAAAATGGAGTAGATGGACTCTATGGCAAGAACATCCCTATAAAATTGACATTCAGAGGCCATTAGAACACAGATGGTAAAACAATCTTAAAACTAAAGAAAAATTGTGAATATTTAGAAGTTCTAAAAGAGCCTACTACATTGTATGCCAAGATACAGCAGTCGTTTTTATTTAAAGAGCTATTTCAATAAAAACTGGATCGCAAAGCATTAAAAAGCAAATTCCGTTTGCCATTACCAATAGCTAAAAAATAGTTTTAAAAAACATATAGTATTAACCAGAAAAAAGTAAAAGCTACATAGTAATTAATAGAAAAGGTCAAAACAGAAAAAGTCAAGTTTTAGTCATAATTGAGACTAATAAAAGTTTGACCAATTTTTGCCTTTTAAAGAAGGTTATGGGAAAGCTACTGAAGTTAACTTCAAAAGCCGAGCAGTAAAAAGTGATTGTCACGTCAGTAAACTCTGAAACAGATCAAAAAAGCCCTGTGTAGTACTAATCCACTGCATCTTTGAACATCTTATATGCCTTTTTTTTTTAAGCTGAGAAGGTTGCCCTCTTTCTCTTTAATTTGTTTCCAACTTCCCATTAAAAAAAAATAAAAGAAATCTAACTATTCAGCTGTTAACAGTCAGCAGCTCAGAGTACAGAAAGTTTATCTTCACTCAAAGATGATGTGAGTTAAGATATAAAATGTCTTTTCCTTTTTGGCCTTGTCCTAGAAAACACGGCTTCATAATTCGTCATTCGTCATTGTACAGAGAGAGTTTCTCTTTCTCCAGACAAGTATTTGTTTACTGAGTATGTACAAGCACATAAATCATTGAAGGTTACATTAAATAGCCATTTTCCCTCATACTTATCAGCTGAAAGTCTTACACCAAAATGAGATGTTTGTGGTGTAATTAACATTTTTAATTTCAATTCTGTCACTTCAGATCCTGGGAAGACTCTCCCTGAAGCCCTTGATTACTGCACAGTTTGGCTGCAGACAGTGCCTGGAGAAATAGACAGCAAAAGTGGTATTCCACCTTCCCTTGTAACCCTACAAATTAAAGACTTTCTTAATGGACCAGGTAAGAAAGCCCGTAATTCAAAATGTGTGTACATTTTTTTTCATATGAGTATATTTAACATGTAGCATAAGGTCTGTTACTAATCTTGACATTCCATGCCAATACTGAATATTTCATTTATTTTCCAAAAGTGTACTCTTCTCAGGCTACCCATTCTAGAAATTGAAAGGCAAATACTAATATGCATTAAAAATGATCTTTCATCTGACAAAAAGTGGTTATCAGTTAAGGAATAATTGACTGGAAGCCAAAGATCCAGGATTTTATTTTTACCTTTTCTACAAATTAACCAGGTGACTTTAGGCAGTTGATCTAATCTCCCATTCCTCAGTTTCCTTACCTGTAAACAAAGAAAATAAAATGGATGGATGGATGATGGATGGGTGGATGGATGGACAGATGGATGGATGGACGGACAGATGATGGATGGATGGATGATGGATGGATAGATGGATGATGGATGGGTGGATGGATAGACGGATGGATGGATGGATGGATGGACGGACGGATAATGGATGGATGGATGATGGATGGATGGATGGACGGATGATGGATGGATGATGGATGGATGATGGATGGATGGATAGATAATGGATGGATGATGGATGGATGGGTGGATGGATGGATGATAGATGGATGATGGATGGATGGATGGA